CTTAGCCTGAATTTTTTTCCATTGAAAGAATGGTACAAACCCATTTCTCGGTTTCAAAAGAGAAGATCTGAACTTTGGATTACAGGGGAGACCATAAAACAAGATCTTTTGGCAAAAAATGTCATAGTGAAATAAGCCAGTATACAGTTTATGGTAAGTGTATGCCTTCTGCAGTTTCAGCTGGTATTGTTTATGGATGTACTTGCATCACTTTCTGTCATAACCAGATTTATTTCTGCTTTAGAACATCCAGAAGTTGTTGCTTTCTATACTAATGATGATGAATTTAATTTCAATAACATCTGTATCTTGTCTATCCTTTATCAGCCCTGTTAGGAAACATTATGTGAGGACATTTCTAAATCAAATTTCCATGAATAAATGTATTGCAGCCTCAGTTGCTGTCTGCATTGTGAAAATTACATTGCATTGTCTTTTCAATAGGGTGCACATTTCTGCCAGTGCCCAGAATGAATGTTTACCAAATGAATACAATTCCTGTGATCATCAAGGTGTAATTTATCTTGCAGAAGGACAAATTAATGTCTGTAATATTTAATTTCATGCATATACAGTTGTTTCATTTTCATTTCAACCACTGTCTGTAGTTTATCAATCAGTACCAAAAGAAAATATAAGTATTTGGAGTTACCAAGTTTATAATAGAACTTGCTTTTAAAATGGTTACATACTGGATGATGTTTTAACACAGGACATGATTTTAAAGAGCAATCGCATTTTTCTCTTCAGAGCATGTCAGCTACATTTTGAAATTATCAGAATTTTTGGAGGTACAGTGTAACAATTTTCCAGCACCCTGTTACAAAGATATATCTTTCTGTGACCATACCCTGTACGTGCTCCCATCTTGCATTTCCCAGATTCTTCTGTGTTGAGCAGTGATGTGAAGAAATCAATAACTATTTTTCTGTGCCATTTTCTTAACCTTCATGTGTTTCTTTGCTTCTTGATGATGCAGTAGACCTACTGATTATTTCCAAGGCTTTCTACTTTTAATGTTACTTAAGAAAAAAAAAACAATCCCAACTCTACTGTTAATTTAATAATGTAACTTAGTCCTTTAAAATTTCTTACTAATTTGCATCTTATGTGTTGTCTGATATGGTAAAAAAAATCTCCCATTAAATTTTCCATTTTCTGAAGTAGAAATAGTGAACTGAATTCAAATAGTGTTTGAGTTTGCAATGCTGTCTTTTTTCCTGGACTTCCTATTTTTATCCAATAGTAAAAGGCCTCTGTGATCCTTAGTGTTTGCCTTGGTGCTATGAAATTGTAGCAGGTAATTCTCATTACTTTCTCTCTTAAATAGGTTTCTTAGTTTTGCAATATATTATATTATTTTCAGACATTGTGTTCCCATAATAAACTGAGACCTTTTTGTCCCCAAGCATGTTGAAACTAATGTTGTCACTGTTGCTCATCTGCTTCATATTATATAATTACTACTTGAACCAGCTACTCTGTGTTACTTAGGATTTAACAGAATAATCCCTCATCTTGTGTTCTCTGGAATTAGCTGTTCCAAGAGTATTTGTTTAAGAAATCACATCTTTAAGCCTTGTTCCATTTAGCAGAACATGAGATACATTGTAAATATATTTACAATATGCTAGCAAGTACATCTTCTTATAAGCACACATTGTGAGACATAAAATAGCCACTTATTTGATTTTATTTAGAGAAGTGATGTACTGGTGTCAGTGCATACTAATTAAATACAATTTGCAGTGATGTATCTGACATCATAGGGAGCTGAGGCAAAACAACTAAACACCATGTTTCACTTGTAAAATATCTTACTGGAAGCACATAAAATTATTATATGGCTAAAAGGTCGTTTACTTCCCGCTGTAACCACCGGTCTAGTAAGTCATACCTTTCCCCTCCTTGTAGGTACCCTCTGCCCTCCCGGATCCCGCCTACCCCGGTCAGCACCAAGGACAGCGCCAGGCTCAGCTCGCGGGGCAGCTGTGTGGGAGTCGTGCGCTTCGGGGAGAGCTTGGAAAGGCCAGGCCACCGCAGTTTGTGTGCCTGCCGAGGAAGATAACGGAGCTGGTGTCAGAGTCCTAGCGCACATCTGCAATGCACACAACAGCTGGCGGAGGGATGTCATGGGTCCTAGTGACTACAGATGTGAAGACTGCCCAGCACCAGTCAGTCCTACTGTGTGGAGGTATCCAGGCCAGTAGAAGCTAAAGGAATTATGCGTGTTGAAGCCCAGTGATAAAACCAGGCAGAGTAAAGGTAGAGGATAAGGTGATACCATACTGTTTCCTATTCCTGTCAAAAACAGATGCTGAGTGTGTAAAATTTCACTTGCACCCCTTATGCAGGTTAGTAAAATATGACAATGAACAATTTTCTTCTTGGAACTTTCTCTCAGACATTCCCTCATAGTAGAGATGGTAGTCAGTTCCAGAACAATCAAAAGGAAATACTGGCTGTGTGGGTGTGCCATGCAGCTGTTTCCATCCTCCTTGCATTGCACACATATGACTACGGTTTTGGGTTCTCCCATTCATTACAGGAAACATGATCCGCAACTTCCCGATACAGCCAATATCATTACACTTTGAAGTTTCTCCCTGATTTCTGTTTTCTCTTTTCCCTTTTACTAGCAGTGGTTTTGGAATATGTGGCTCAAACCAGCCTGTTCATTTTCACTAACCAAATACTCTCTTACTCTAATTTCTGAGTTGTAAATAAGAGCACAAGATTAAAACTTTAGTTCTGTTGAGGTTAATACCCCATGTAGCATTGATCTCAAGAGGTCCAGAATTTCACCTTAATAACTGAACAAAAGTACATATTTATATAGAGTAGAAGAAAGTAGAGACACCACAATTACGTATTTTTTGTACATTCATGTTTAAACATGCAATAAATGTGTAGTAAAAATATATTCTTAATTTGTATCACAAAAACGCTTCTACTTTTAAATGAGCTTTTGCAACAACAGAGACCAAATATGTATCAAATGCCTCTCTGCTGATAATCCAACCAATTAACATCTAAAAGCTAGAAACAAGTTACTTCAGTCATAATGTACATTCAGTATTTTTCAAACTTACCTTCTTATAAGCTTTAGCAAATGCAGGAGGAGTCTTACAGTTGTAATATTATTTTTAGCCTCAATATATCTGTAACTTTATGGAACTGCAAAAAATCTTACTAGCAGTTTGATTAAATGTATATCAACATTCAAAACAATCAGTGGAGTTCAAGGGGAAGAAATGCAAATTTTGGGGGTTTTGTTTTTCAAAAGAAAGACTGTTCATTTCTTTTCCATATTATTTCCAGAAGGAGACTAAGCATTGTTATAAACTTTTTCTGTAACCACCTTTCCCATGAAAAGAGCTGGGACAGCAACACAGAACAGCTATGCAGCAGAAAGAAGAGTATGTTTTGTACTTCTTAAGATGATTTGTTGGGAATTTTCCAGTCTCCCATTTTAGGCACTCCTGAGAAACTGTGGCTATTCAAGTTCCAAGGTGCTCTGGCTGTTTAGGAAGCAAATAGAAGGGAAACAGACTACTTATGATTTTTGTGGAAGTAACATTTGGTTTATCTGATGGTAAATATATATTCACCAACAGCACCGATTAGGGACAGAAGTCTTTTCCTTTCTTTTTTGTTAAAAAAAAAAAAAAAATATTTATGGAAGGACAGGTTTCATTGGCTGTATATTTGATGCCAGTTTCAGGCTGCATGAATCTCTCTGCAGACTTCTGTTATATGCACTTTGTGTTGTTTTCAGTAAACGTACGGAACTGAAAGCTGCATTTGATCCTGGTGTCATGAAAATCTTTGTTGTAAGAGCTTGAGATAAATACAATCTGTTGGTGTTCTATACTGTAAGAAAATGTTAATATAAAGCTAATTGACTGGAATGCTCAAATGCATGTTTTTATGAAAGAATTATTTTTCTAAACAATGAAGGGAACAACATAATCTTAATTTTATTCAAGAAAGATTTAAGAGGAAAAACTCCCACTAATTGAAATGAAAATAGAGTAACACGGAAAAATGCCTCCAACATGAAGTAACTGGTTAGAATTAGATGTTTTGTGGATGAAATGTCAATATGACTAAGGAAATAGTAGAAGAGAAACAAAAGTTAAACAAATTGAGATTTACAAATAAATCCTGACAAAATACACGCACTCGGAAAGCCAAATCTGTGTTGAAAGTAACAGGAAAATGGTTGATGTTATTTCCAATTGTCAAACCAGGCTAGTTATCCAGGAGCTTTTAGAGCAAGTATTCAAGTTCATGGTGCAAAGGTGTTTGCATGACCACATAACGTGCATTACTTAGCCGCCTACGGAATCCACCGGGTGACAAATCTGGAAACACGTTCGGGTCGTGACGAGAGGTTCCCGCACACTGCGGCCTCATGCAACACAGAGAAGTTACTTCCCCACCTGGGACATAGGGAAACGGTGACTTTCCCACGTAAAGCGCTTTGAGATCCACGGGTGAAAAGTTGTGTGATAACGAAGCTAAGGCACGGACGGGGAAGCATGTGGTGTTTGAGCCAGGTGGTGGGCTCGAGGGTTGAATATAAGTCGTTAAAACGACAGCTGAAATTCTCTTCTTGGATGAGACGGAGCCGGCGTGCAGCTGGGCCACGCGGAGAGCGGGCCGGGAGGGGTGCTCCACACACACAGCGAGGGTCAGACGGAAAGGTGGGGAGCCAAGATATTCCCCAAAGGAGCAGTGAAAATACGAACTCAACTTGGGGGAGAGGGAGAAGGCACAGCCTCGCCTGGAAACAAACAAGCACACGCAAATAACAGCCCCGCAAGCCGCCCGCTACATCCTGCACCTACCAACGACACCGCCCGCACGCCGCCATCTCCTCGCAGCTCCCCAGGCCCTGCCGACCCGGTCCGCCCCGCCGCCTGACGGCGCTGCCTTTGCGCAGGCGCAGGCTCAGGCTCAGGCTCCGGCTCGGGTGCGGGGCTGAGTGGGGGGGGCCGGGGCCCGGAGCGGCGCCGCGCCCTCGCGCCGCGTCCCGGGCGGTGTTTCAGTGCAGCCATGTCTGGCGGCGCGAGGCTGCGAGGCGGGCTCGGTCGGCGGCGCCCTCTGTGAGGCGGCGGCGGACGAGCGGCGGCGGCGGGCATTCATGTCGGCGGCCAGGGATTAGCGCGGCGGACACCCAGCCGAGCGGAGGGGGCGGCCGACTCGTCGCCCCCTTCCCGCGGGGTCTCCGGCCTGAGAGAGCCGTACCCGCGTGGCGGGGGCGGGGGGACATGGCTGACCGGAGCGCGCCGAGCTGCCACCTGCGGCTGGAGTGGGTCTATGGTTACCGGGGTCACCAGTGCCGCAACAACCTCTACTACACGGCAGCGAAGGAGATCGTCTACTTCGTAGCGGGGGTCGGCGTGGTCTACAGCCCCAGGGAGCACCGGCAGAAATTCTACCTGGGGCACCAGGACGACATCATCAGGTACAGCCTCCAAAGCGGGTCGTCGGGCCGCATCCCGCCTCGGGTCCCAGCACCCTCCGGGCGCCCCGGCCCGACTCGGCCCCCGACCGCACTTCAAGCTCCCTTGGAGCGAGGCGCGAGTGGCCCCCTGGCCGTCGCCACCTGCCCCAGGTGCCGTCCCGGGTTGCTTCGGCAGTCCGCCTCCTGCGTCCGGCCAGCACTGTGCGGATCCGGGGAGCGCATCGAAATATATCAAGGACAGCTTTTCCTCCACATTCCCCCGCCTCCCGCTGGGCTTCGCCGTGGGCAGAAGCAGCCTGGAAATGGCTTTTGGCTGTCTGGTTTAACGGTCCATGTCGTGTGTGTCCCCGTCGCCACCCGGTGCGCGGTGCCGAAACTTGTCCAGGCGCTGATGCGCTGGTGTGCCCGGCACAGCACGGCACAGCCTGAGGGCCGAGGCTCGGTGCTCGGCCACCCTTGAATGTCAAAGGGCCAGCGAGAGGAGAAAGAGTAATCTCGTGTGTGCCCTGAAATGCTTGGGCTGCGGAGGAGGTTAATCTGCAGCAGGTAGACCTTTGGCTCGCATTTAAAAGGCGTCTATTACGTGGGGAATTAGTGGCTTGCCTGTAACTCGCACAACTTTTAGGATGATCTTAAAAGATAAGCCCTTTTTGCAGAATTGAGGTTTCTTCTGTAGCTCAGTAATTCACTTGGCAGTGAATGTTAGCAGGTGCTAACATAAGAAAAATAATTACAGAGTGATGTTGCAGAACAAATGTGCTGGTGACATTTCTTAAATGTATTTTCAGCCTAAGGATGTTTTTATAAGCCTAGTGGTGGTGTGAGATCAGTGAGAGAATTTGAGGAGTATGAAGGGCAGATTTGAGCCTGAGTCATCAATCCTGTCCCTTCCAGTAGGTGTCATTGCGGATGGATTTTAAATTCTGATTCCTTTTGCTCTTCCTTTTGGGGTAAGAGGTAGCAGCAGACAATTTGGTAGTCAATTTTCAGCACAAAATTTGTTTCTATAATGCTTAGTGCTCCAAGACATATCTTAGAAGGTATGTGTTACTCATATGAGTAACAGGTATTACCTGTGGAGAGCAGAACATATGCTATGTCTCTCATTTAAGTTCTTAGACACAATAGAAAACTTAGTGATAATGGCCACATTTTTCTTTATTTAAATCTTCTTCTGCAGTGTGGCTGTGAAAGTCTCTTAGAAGGGTATCATGTCTATGGTGTATTTTGCCTTGGTGCTAAAAATGTGATGAAAAGGTGGGCAGGCAATGTACCTTTACAGATTGCTGGACTAGGGCTGTTGAATCAGAAGTTTGAATCACTATTATTTGCATCATTTAATGCTTTAAAATTGTCATTTTAGTCCAGGAAAAGTGTTTCTGAAGAAGTGTTTGCCGTGTCTAATGTCAGGTGTTGCAGGAAGTCCAAATCCGCAACTTCCCATTGTGCTAAGGAAGCACAACTAGTTTTAATGTGAAGTCCAAGACTGCCATAGCATAATTACACATTTAATGCCATATATTCATGAGTGCTTCTGAGTGACACCCTTCATTTCAGTATGACTCCTTATGGTACAAGAATAATGTGTTTTGAGCTGCAAGTGGAGAAGTTGTTTATGTTTTCCCGTGGTAACAGTTTTTTGCTCACTCTGTTCTCAGTTTTGTTACAACGTGCTACATTTGGCCAAAATGTGACAGAACTCATTATTCAGAATAGTACTAAAACAAACAATGTGTCAAAAGTCAGCAAACCAGAGAGAAAGACTATAATGACTTTATCTGATTTGTATGAGTATGTACTTTGATTTGTATGGTACAGTAACCCAGCATACTGGAGTTTCTCCTGCTTTGAATATAGTTCTAAGTATGTTAAAGCATTACAGATTTATTCAATTAGAATTTTGCATGCTGCTTATATGCAAAAGCTATGCAGAAATGTTAGCATGCTTAAAGAGGAGTGCTCGATTTAAAAGCAGCATGGCTATTTCTAATAGTAAGATTAGATTTGCAGTGATCAGTGTTTTACTTGCTGCTTTTTCTAAAAGCAGCATGGTGCCATTTAAATGTCATCATCCCATACTTTTCCTGACTAAACTTGGGTACCTAGGCATGTCAGTTCTCAATATTTAAAGCAGTCATAGTAGGAAGGTGAAGTAATAGGAAAATGGATTTTTAAAATAGAGTGCAGGTGCAAAAGTGGGATTATATAATACAGTAATCGGTGTTACTAAATTTTCTTTCTGAAGATAGCAAATTCAGTTGCTGTACTGCAAAAGAAAAAATAAAAAAAAAATCATGTTTTGTGTTTTAATAGGCTCAGCAAGTACTGTCCGAATGCTGAGGCATTTGTGATGTTTTGGGGAGGATTGAGAGTCTTCTTACAAGTATGGGATGTCATTTGTGAAAGCAGGTCTTGTGTCTGAAAATCTGACATATTTAAAGAATCGTACTTCTGTGAGCCCAGCTCCATAGCTACAAAGACTAAGCAGTATATATTGCATGCTACATGGCGATATTATTAGTACTTTTCATTGTGAGAACTTTTATATCATTAGCATGCTTTGAATGACATTCTAATTTTAAGTATCAGTCAGGAAGAAAGGAATTGCAGTTCTTAAGGCAGAGACCAGTTCTTTATCTATAATAATAGACACCAGTATTAGATTAATGGACAGCTAATTTTCATTTAGAAAATTTCTTTCTACAACTAGCAGTTAGTTTGTCTTCTGCTGTGAAGTTTTACCTCCTTTTGCTGAACAAAAATCTACAAACCTTCTGTAAGATTTCTTTATATGATTAGATGTTTAAACATAACTTATTTCCAGTATAAATGTATAATCTTAATTTTAATCACAGTTTCCACACTCCCTCTCTCCCGTCCCTCAGCCTCAGTTAACTCTGTATTGAAGATATGAGAGCTCTTTTTCAGTGTTCTGTCCCTTGGTTCTATCAAACAGGTTTTTTGAAATAGAAGAGGGTAGTTAGGATCACTTGGGGCCTCTTTTATTAGTCTGTTTTTAGAATTGAACAACTTCAGTCATTCAGTTCCAATCTGTCTTTAAAAGGACTTCTTCTGCTTTCTTGTAAGCTTTTGATTTTTGTATGTTGTTTTTTTTTGTTATCTCTCCTGAGAATTGCTTTCCAGAAACCAACCTAGTGTTCTGTAGGGCAGAGAGTATCATGTTTTCAATCTTATCTCCCATTTCTTGTGTATCCTCACATTTTTATTGTGGATGTCCTTCTGGGTGTGTGCAGGCATTTGTGGAACATGTCACTCAGACGCAGGAGTGCTTTGGAAATTTGCATCTTTTGGGAGTGCTGATAACTGAGTTTTTTTCTTGTATTTTTTAGGAGTAAATAAGGAGGAAAATCTTGTAGCTGAAATCTTGGGTCACTTGATAGTTCTGTCCATTGCCACCAGCATAACTTGGATGTTGACTGTTTTGGCAGCAGATAGCTGCCCTGTCCAGCCTGGGCTGTGTGTATGTAGGAGATACTAATGTTGAATGAATATGTGAATTATTTCTGCAAAGTTACTGATATTTACTGTGTGTTTGGTAGGATTTAATAAATCACCAGACTAGCTTGTGAGGTGTAGATTGGTTTACTTTATGGTAGAAGAGGAAGAAACAGTATCTTGGTGTGTTCTGGTTAGATCTTTCCTTTGCTCTCTATCAATAATTTTAGTGTTTTAGAGGAACATGAGTTAATTAATGTAGGCTGTCCTTCCTCTGTCTGAGACACCTTAGGGGGATCATATTTAATCCTGATTATACAAATCAGAGATTATACAAAGATTTCAGAAGATGCTCCCTCAGAGTATTAGCTTATCATCTGGGAAACTGATGCTCATGTTGAGGCTCTTTATTTGTCTGGGCTAGCTAAAATGTGTTTATGTACTTTCTCTGATGCAAGGTAGGAAAATTGGAAACCCTGAACTCATCCACATTAATAAATGGCTGGCTGCTGACAGAAGCCTTTGATGTTACTAGGACTATTCTCTATGCCGACCTGCTCCAAGAAGACTTTTAGAATAATTTTTCCTTTTAATGCATTTTTATTTTATTTTTTTTTCTCCTCAGTTTTTCCTTAATACTAGCCCTATGATTGTCATCTTTTGTGAGCTTTAGAGTATTGGAATTTTCACCTGGCATTGATGATGCCACTGAAGCGCAAAAGCACAACCTAAGATTAAACCAGTGCATCTTTTTGAGTTCTTTAGTGGACTTGGCAAAAATGCATATTTTGTTTTCCATGACATTTCTTCAATGCAAACTTCAGCACTCTTTGTAAGTCAGTCCTTTTGCACCATTATCTCTATGTTTGCGCAAAACAGCCACGCAACCAAGCAGGCCAAAGAAAGAAAAGAGGAACTATGTTTTTCTGTCAAGGGGAAAGAAATAAGGAGGAGCTGTTAACCCTCTCCCATTTTTTTTAATATCCATTGTGTGAGTTGGCTGGCAAGTAATAGTGCTCTTGTGCTCTTGTATATTCTTCCTACAACTTTATCACCAGTAAACAATGACTGTTTGATTAAGATGTTTGTGTTATGTTTAGGTTTTGTTGTTAAAAACAAAACATCTTCTGCTAGAAAAAAAGCTTGAATTTCTGCTGATAATGCTTTCTCTATCTGCTGTAGAGCAACAATAGGCTGTGTCTAATAAGTTCGTTTCCCTACTTGTCTGGAAGTCTGTGTCTTTCCTTGTCTTGGCTAAGTTTACGGAAAGAAATCATGCATCGTCTGCCCTGGGACTCATGCAGAGGTCTGTTTTTAGGATAGATAAAACTTTAAAAATTATTCAGAAAACATTAAAATTCTTTACTGTTATGAGGTCTAGTACCAGAAACTAACAGATCCCCTGCTACAAAGTCAGAGGAGAAAGAATTCTACCTTTAGAGTGGTTAAAAATGTGTGTTTTTTTTTTTTCCTCTTTGTGCCCCTCTGTAGCCAAGACTGTAGAGAGGTAAATTGCATGCTTGGAGAAAGCAAAGGCATATGCA